AAGATTTCAAAATTTTTGCTTTCTATCTAACCATTCTTTAGCACCATTTAGAATTGTTGATTACAGAAAGTACTATAGATGCTAAAGTGGATCACCACTCACCTATGACAACACTTTCCATGATTGTTTGGAAGAACCAAAGCTGATTTCCAACCTAACCTGACATCTACTGCTTGTCTTGGGGCTTGGTATACAAGGGATCAGAATCCTCCTACAAGTCTAGAAGGTAAAAGTCTTGATAAATTTTGGTTTCTTTCTCTCCTCCCTTTGGCATCCCTAAAGAGAAAAATAAAAGATTGAGATGATCCTGAGAGGAAGAGGGAGAGGTACATTACCCATGACCCCACTATTCTAATTCAAAGGAATGGTCACACATTGTGGAAGCGAGGGAGAGGTACATTACCCATGACCCCACTATTCGCCTACACTTTGTCAGAAATAACTACAAAAAAGTAGTAGAAAAATCAATAAGATGAACATATGATGTTCATTGGGATTGATGTAAAAGAAAAGAAAGTTTGGATTCAGAGAAGGGGGATATAGGGAGAAAAGAAACCAGAATGAGAATGCCTGAAACTTGTTTGAGTTGAATCCAAGTGTTCCTTGATCGATACTCCCAAGGTGAAGACTTCACTTTTATTTTATGCATAAATGAAATCAGTAGAGGGGATAGACAGACATGATTGCTAAGTTGATTGGCTAGATGAATTTGGTTGCTAAGCTAGGATATGGTATAATGTACTTCTGTAGTTAGCAATATGAGATGTGGCTTGCAACAAAGTAGAGGTTATGATCTTAAGTTAAGATTTGTTTGAGTCTCTGCTGTTTTTAAAACTTCTTTCAAAGACTAACTATTGCGTTTGCTTGAGAACAAGAAAAATGTTAAGTCTGGGGGAGTTGATATACCATGGTTTTGATCCACTTTAAACCATGGTATTTATATGATTTTATAATATATTTATATGTTTTGGATTCTATTAGGTATGTTTTCAGGTTTAGGAGTATTTTAGAGTAAGGTGATGATTTAGGTGCCCTTATGGAGCTTAAAAGAGAGTTTTCCCGAGATGACTATAAAGATCAGACAGTAAGGTCGATATCCAGAGATACATATCGATCGATACACATCTTGTGTAATCGATCGACGACGCTTCCGTAGAAAATGACTTTGGATACTCCATCGATCGATGTATACCATGTACCATCGATCGATATGAAGCGTGAAGAACAAGTTTGACTTGGCCGACTTGAAGCCCAAGTTCTCTCAATATTACAAGATTGCCCCTGACGATTTTTTTAACCTAATGGAACTCATATTTATAGTTTTGCCCATGTGTTTTGGCTAGACATGCTTTTTTGCTTTTTATGCTTTTACATGCTTTTGTGCTTTTCATACTTTTTATGTTCTTTAATTTATAAAAGTATTCTCTTCATCTTATTCTCATTTTCATAAAGGTTATAGAATTCTAGATTTAGAAAAAACACACAAAGAGATTTGTTGTTCCAAGAACCAAGAATTCAATCTTCTAATCTAATGAATTTCTATTATTACCTTGTTGCTATGAATCACTTAGCCATGTCTGAGTAGATTCACTTGTTAGATTTAGGGTTCAAATAGTTATGAGGGATTAGCCCCAACTATAGATTGTTGTGTTGTGCTATTCATTATCCTGATGAACCCTAATGCTTACTCTAGAATAGCTAACTAGAGTATGATCATGGAATGATTTAACTTGTTAATTATCATCCTGAAATCATCTGGTATAAGCTGAGATTCTAGGCACGATGCGAGAGCCAGACTATGATCTTGGTGAACACTTTCGATTTGATCTGAAGCTATATCGATCGATACCCCTATAGAGTAATCGATCGACGGCTACATATATCGGCCGATGTTGCGATAGCAATATCGATCGATTTTTGCGACAGTCAGATCAATGGACGAGTCTAATAGCGATAGCTATAGATTTATCTAAGAATTGAAGTTATTTAATATCTTGCAAGCAACTTATAAAGACATCTATAGCATTATAATCCTGATTATCTGAATAGTAACCTTGAATCTAATTACTTTCTTTTATTGTTTAAAACCTAAACCAAACTCTCTTGAGCAACTCACCATTGCTCATAACTGCAATTTATCTTTTAAACCATAATCAACCTAGCATAATCAGTTAGGATTTTATCTTTTGTGTTCCTTAGTTACTCGTGGATTCGATCCCTAAATAATACAATTAAACCTCTTATTTGTGAAAGTAATTCATTCTTAGAACAATTTGAGTGATATCATATACAGAGTAAGGCAACAGCATATAATCGGCAGGGAAATCATTAGCTTAAAACAGGCCAGCGGTTGCTGTTTACTTGCCTTTACTTTGCGGGTTGCTTGCGAATAAATTATCGCCTTACCATTGTTTCTTTTTGTTTTATTACAGGCCTGCCAGTGAGCCTTAAATATTTTAAACTCATAATTAAACAAACCACTGCACCTAATCAACTGTTGAAATTAATTTCAAGACACCATTGCACCTAGTCATTAGTCTCCCCGTTTTAATTGAAATGACGTATAGAAAGAACTACTTTTCTTTGTAATTTTTGAAACCAAATCACAACTGAAAATACAACAGAAAGAGTGTGAGTGTAAGGCATTTTTAGGGTAAAACTAAAATGGTGAAAACGTTTTAACGCTGGTTTCCACCATCTATCAACCAATCAAGTAGAAAAATCAGAAAACAAAACTGATTTGTTTTCCTCTGATTATCGCTATTATAAATACCTACATGTATTACTGTTATATCACATCATTTTATGGATATCAACCCATCAACTCTCCTTCTCTCTCTTTTGTCGATTTCAAACTTATTTACTCTAACTTTTTACCAATCACATTTTCTTCTCTTTTCCTCTAATTATCACTTGTTTTTCAATTTCTCCAAATTTTTTTACTCTCAATTACTCTAATTTTTACCAATCACACCCAAATAAATAGACGAAGCATCTCACTATTATAATATTAAACATGTGGCCCATTTTATAAGACATAATATAAGAGAAATACGAAATATACATGTTGACTTGCATTCAGAAACCAAAATTATCATGTCCAAACTCTTCAAACATGTCAACGAGAACAACCCAAACTCTAGTTAGCATACACTCAGGCTTCTTGCCACCTTCCGCCCAGCATCCACCGCATTTGAGATTGATATAATGTTCTGGCACCAGATTAAACTGAGTCCAAAATATAAAATTATGCCTCGGATCCCACGAGTTTCTCCACTAAAAGAAGAAGATAACAAATATTAGTGTTGTTGTGTAATAAAATATGGATACAATAATAGGAGCTTACAACGAGTATAAGAAACCAGCGCTCCTTAAAATGAGCTGGAATGACGCGGTATGTCGGCCACTCATGAACCCATCATTTTTCAAAGAATCTATGGGATCACCTTCGAAAGATAATGTAAAAATAAAAACGACGTAAAAGAAGTTTTGTCAACATAGACACCCTGACCAAGGGGCAAGGTCCATAACAGGGAGGTTCTCCCGATCTGCAAAGCTTAGAATTGCATTCTCACTGCTGGCAAACCTTAATGACCAACCAGGGACAATATCCATATTGTTTAGGGTCTTCTAGAGAGAGAAGGTGTAAGAGAAGTGGACTAAATACAGAGAGATATTGTTTAGGTTTTTCTGGAGAGATATGGTGTAAGAAATGTAATTGGTTATATGTGACAACAAAAATTAAGGATATTGCTTTAAAATAAATCTTTTGTAAATTTTTTGTTCAATAATCATTATATACTTTACCCATATTAATACAGTTACACATTATAATGGCAAGGGAACAGCCGCGTAACAGAAGATAATTTAAAAACATAAATTGTTTATTTCAAAAAGGACCTAAATTGTTTGTTTATTTGTTGGAGGTGTTGAATAAAAGTGTAACGCCCCGACCGCCCACAGCTAATGGGCCACCCACGCCCGCTCTCTCGGCCCGTGGGCCCCATCCCGTTCCAACGGCCGGTCCGTTAATTTTCTAAGGCTCTAGAGTCATGTTTACTGACCCTGCAATCACCACATGACCTTTCCCTGTGCTTTGGCCTCACTTACACGGTATCGCAAATCACTTCCCGATAGGTCACCCATCCTTTGACTACTCCAGCTCAAGCACGCTTAACTCTGGAGTTCTCTCTGGATGTGCTCCCGAAAAGGTAAGTGCACTTTGGTGACAGAGGTAGTCAAATCAATTCTCTTAAGCCTTTCCGTATATCAGAATTCGGGATGTTACAAAAAGATTCAACATTAGATTTCATTTTTTTAAAAAAATTAAATTCTTGGTTTATTTTTTTGTTCACTAATCATTATATACTTTACCTTTATTAATACAGTTACACATTATAATGGCTAAGGATTTAAAAACAGAAATTGTTTAGTTCAAAAAAAGGACCGAAATTGTTTGTTTATTTATTGGAGGTGTTGAATAAAATATTAAAAGAGGTGTCATATGAATACCTATATTTACCCAGTAATACATGGCAAGGAAAAAGCCGGGTAACTATAATCTAAGTTGAACTGAGTCACACTTTTAGTAACTGTACAACATAGTAAAAGTTCAACTAGTTTTGATTGTATATTTTACATTTGTAATATGTTCTTTTTGAATACATTTATTGATATTAAAATAAATAAAGTTTATTTTATAGAAAAAACTAGAGATATTATATTATGTGAAATGTATTTTACATAAACTTAGTAAAAATAGATAAAAAGTACATGTCATAACTCAAACATACAACTAACCTTCAATTGGCCAGTGACCAGCGGTAAAATGAATATCACTACATAAGTCTCAAGCTGCACATTGCCAGAAACAACTATCTCATCTCCACCATGTTCTTGATTCATCTATGGAGACTACAAACACCGTTTCTATTATTCTGTAGCACCAGCAATCATATTACATGTTGGGATCTGTTCTTTCCGATAGAGACATACACATCTCAAGTTTTTTTGTAAGCCCAATGGCCTGAGAATATCTCTTTAGTGATCATGTGATACATTCGATCAACAAATTCACGAGTAAAACTAGAATAGTTGTGAACAAATCCTCTATCATCAACACTAAATGCTAAGTTCAACATGCCATCTACATACTTGGCCAACAACAATCCTCTCTCACCAGAAAGATGGATTTTTTTTTTCCTTCCTGCATCAAGTAAATGGAGGACGGATAACTCATACATACCTTGCAAGTAGATGGTCTCTGGATTACCGAATTGGTAGCAACTAAGCCTGAATATTGTAAGAGCATTGACCTCATCTATCCATTCATTCAAGTGAAATAGATCTGCAGATCGGTAGAAGTATTTTTCTTTGCCAATTAGTATGAACCAGGAGAAAGCAACTCTTGCACTACCAAAGTCCCAGAGATTGCTTGTTGCTACCTTGAAGAAAATCTTATGAAGCAAGGAAGGAGGCAGAGAAGAGTTGAAGTTCGCCATGGAGAGATATTCATTTTATCAAGTAAATGGAGAGATTTTCGTTTTATTTATTAGGACAAGGTGAGAAACTCTAACTACTGTATTTTAGTGATAGGTGCCTCGAGAAGACACGAGTTCAGAAGATAGGACTTCTCCAATAGTCGTATGCCTCTAATTGTGATTTGATGGAGAGGCACGAGTAGGAACTGCAGCAGTCGCCTCTTGAGAATAATCATCATTAGTCTTGACACGTCTTCAGAAGACACGATTTTTCACTGCAACAGTTGCATGCATTGGATTTGAAACATTGTATAACTTTAATCGATAAAGATAAATAATTGTGTATAAATAAGTGACAGTACCTTATTTAAATTATCTAAATTCATGAAACTAATATTTTTTTTTAACAATTTAGATTGTCTAAATATATGAAACTATATTAAACTTTAAGATATTTATATATTATATTGTTATATTTTGCAAGAAGTGATAGCAACAGCAGATTTCAAAATTTATTATACTTAGTGGATATGATTTTGATTGTAAATGAAAATGGAAATGTTTAGTTTGAGAAGAATCCAAATTCAAGCAATAGTGTGTCCCTTTAATGGACTTCTCTCATGGAAAAGTCACCTATAATCATCATTACACTTGCATTTAAGGGTTCTGCATTTAAACGCCACAACACTACACCGTCTACAATCATCATTGCCTCTAAACTCCACCACAATAAGTTAAATCGTCTCCTTCACTCCGATTGAACATTTCTCTGCAAAAAAACCATAAAAAAATATTCATCATCTCTCAACAAACAAAATGACACACTACAATAGGCTTTCTAAGGTTTCTTAGAACGAGAAGATCATGTCTTGGCATTTCAGAGTCAAAATACACAGAATCTACCCATCTTATTCCTATGTTACCGATAGTGGACCACACTGGATTTATATCCTAGGAAATGAAGATGTAAGTGTTACATCATCATCTCTCTAGTTTCTAATATCATGAAACAATGAAAAACAAAACTGATCCTTGAACTTTATTTATGCAGGGAACCAAGATGGAGATAACCATTCATGAAGGCTATGAAGATAGGTTTAGAAGCCTAGAGAAGCAAGAGGGATACTAGGTGGAAATCGTTCAGGAAGAATTTCACCAATCCTATCCAGGTTTCCAGGCAACATCACCATTCCTATCCAGGTTTCCAGGCAATAAACTCTCGGTTCACACTAACTGCGACGCACCATACACAAGTCCACATCATCGATCCTCTGAACAATCGGCTTTACATGGACTTCAAAACATCCATGAAATCCCTCACATGAACCCCAAGGGCCGAAACTATCCCATAGGTATGAATTCTAACTACTAAAATTAAAAATATATTTCAGATTGATATTTAGATTTAAGTAACAAAAGCGAACACTGATCTGATAGATACAATGAGAGTGGTATTCAACACGGAAGTCCATTTCGATGACCCTGCAAGGCCAAAGATTGTGTTTTACATAAGGGACAACATGTAAGTAGAAAGTAACATATGATCAAAGCATAATTTATACACTAGTGAAATTGACGCACCTTGTTTTATTATCATAGTGAGAGTCGGAAAAAATGTGTTGCAACTAGAGATCATGCTTATGCCTTCCAGGATGATCTTCAAAACATGAGAGGTCGTGGACAGGTTATTATGGTCCTTAAGATGTGGAAGGTCTGGAGATTTTTCAGTAAGTGTAGTTTATGTGTTTAGTTTTAAATGTGACAGTTGAGTAAATAGGTTATTTTGACTTATTTATACAGGTTATTTTGGTCATGGACTATGGCTTGAGACCAAGGATTTATTATCTGATTTCAGGTTCAATCCGCTTTTGCCAGAGGTTTAGGAGTTCAGAAAATCGGTCAATAACAATGACCCTTATGTTTGGAGTCACGGGTCTATAGGGCCGTTGTTAGGTCTAATCTTATGTAGTGAAATTTCTGAAACTTGTTAGTGTGTGCTGAAACTTGGTTTGTGATGTTGAATGCTCTTATATTATGTTGGGTTTCTTAACATTTGTAATTATCCAACTCCATAAAATCTCGAAAAACTTGAAGTTACAATGAAGTTATAAATAGGGAAAATTGTTCTAAATAGGCAAAACTTATTCTAAATAGGTCCAACTTTGTTAAAGTTTTACTTTTGTAATTGGGAAACAGCGTATAAGCAGGTCAAATTTTGTGTTAGTTTCACTTTCTCAATTGTGCAACATCGTAAACATTAGAGAAAACTTTTCAATTGACCAAACTTCTTAGTAGTCCAACTTCGCATAACCTAGGAGGAACTCACGAAAAACTTAGAAAAAACAGAAATTTTAACTTTGTCATTTGCTTTTAGGAATTACGTGTACATCAAAATTCCTAGAACTACAACGATACTGATGATAATAACACAAACTCCTGATATCATGATCTTAGGCATTATTTTGGGAGGTGTTATTTTGGGACCTTCACTCCTTATTGTTGCTTTGAGCAATTGAACTTCTTCTTCTAGGATTCAAACTTGGTAGTCCAATTGTTAAATCTCATCTTTGAAAGCTTTATCAACACATTTGAAAACGTGATCGCATTCTAGATCTACGACATTTTTTCAAAAAAATTTAACCTACATAGCGAGGAGAAGAATTCAGAGAAGAAACAGAGAGATTACTCCCAATTGGGATGATCTGATTGGTCAAACTCGAGTCTTATCGGTCAGGTAAAGAAATGGCACTTTCGACATTAACCACCCAAATAGAGAGTATCAGAATAAATAAGAGTATGTGAGAATAAGAGTATGCCAAAATAAAAATATGCCTCATTATTTGGAATCAAATGCTCCAGTACTCCTGGATGAAAAAACTTATTCTTGGACACTCTTCCTCTTTTTATTACTTTATTATATATTTATTTAAATAGAGAAATTTGGTAAAAGACAAGCAAAACCAAGAGAAAGTTAATTAATTACAATCCAACTTAGGATTATGTTTTCCTTGCAAGACAATTTTTTTCCTTGCTATACCTTTTCTGAGTTTTTTGAGGCATGTCCATGAGCCTAAGGTGCCAATGGACATTCTAATCACCAAACTATTTTTTTTTTTAATTCTCAAGCATCCTTATAAATTTGTTTGAGTTCTGGTCAAAGGTAGTTTTCCTTAACCTGTAATTGCCTTTATTTAAAATAAAACAAAAGCCATATAAATATATTTTGATAAAATAATTATTTTGTGAATAAACAATAAACTATTAAGCTTGTTGGTTTGTATAAATATAATTTTTGGCTTTTATAAAAAAATTTGGGACCAAATAGTACTTAAAGCTACTAAGTTTACCTAGTTGTACATAGCAAGACAACAGAAAATAAGCGGCAGGGGAATTACCAACTTAAAACTGGCCAACGGTTGCTGTTTACTTGCCTTCGATCTGCCAGTCACTTGCAAATCTATTTTCGCCTTGCCATTGTTTCTTTTGGTTTCCTTTCAGACCTTCCAGTGAGCCTAAGGTCTTATAGGACTTTTTCAAAGCTAAAATAGTTACGGCTCATGCGATTTTAATATATTTTTAGCTTGGGCCAATTGGTTGTGGTTTCCTTGCCCTCAGTCTATGTTTTCCTTGCGAGACAAACTATTGCCTTGCCATACTATTTCTGAGTTTTTTTAAGCATGCCCGTGAACCTAAGGTGCCAAAGGACATTCTAATGACTAAACTAATTCTTCAAATTCTCAAGTGTCCTTATAAATTCGTTTGAGTTCTGGTCAAAGGTAGTTTCCTTTAACCGGTAATTTTCTTTATTAAAAATAAAAAAAGCCATATATATATATATATATATATTTTTTGATAAAAAAAATTATTTTGTGAATATACAATAAACTATTGAACATGTTGGTTTATAAAAATATAATTTTTGGCTTCCATAAAAAAATTTGGGACCAAATAGTACTTAAAGTTTCTTAAGTTTACCTAGTTGTACATATCAAGGCAACAGAAAGTAAGCGGCAGGGGAATCATCAGCTTAAAACTGGCCAACGGTTGCTGCTTACTTTCCTTCGATCTGCCAATCGCTTGCAAATCCATTATCGCCTTGCCGTTGTTTCTTTTGGTTTCCTTTCAGACCTTCTAGTGAGCCTAAGGTCTGAGAGAACTGTTTCAAAGGTAAAATAGTTTTTTAAACATCTCAGCGTAATTTAATATTCTTTTGAGCTTGTGCCAATTGGTTGTGGTTTCTTTTCCCTCAGTCTATATTTCCCTTGGAAGACAAATTATTGCCTTGCCATACTTTTCTGAGTTTTTTGAGACCTGCCCGTGAGCCTAAGGTGCCAAGGGACATTCTAATGACTAAACTAATTTTTCAAATACTCAAGCATCCTTATAAATTTGTTTGAATTCTGGTCAAAGATGGTTTTCTTTAACCGGTAATTTCCTTTATTAAAAAAAACAAAAGCCATATAAATATATTAGATGATAAAAAATTTTGACACCAAATAATTACTTAGAGTTTCTTAAAACTACCTAGTTGTACATAGCAAGGCAACAACATGTAAGCGACAGGGGAATCACCCGCTTAAAACTATGAGTTATTAATTAGCTGAACACCCATATATATCACCCAAACAACAATGTCGCTATTTTGCACGTTGATCGATTATGTCCACCTTTATTGCATTTGGTACATACGTACCGCCTTTTCTCCTTCATTGTTGATTGACTCCGCTGGGAAAGTGTTGTCTTATTCGATTTTGGTTTTTTAGCACCCTAAATTGGCTTATTCAAGTGCTCGGTGCTGTAATCTTTGCTGAGTATTTTGGTTTCTTTCTTGATGACAGATTAGTTGACGGTGTCCTCCATGGTAATTGGTTTGCTTCTGTTTTATTGGACTATTGGGTGCTTGATTACGATCACGTTTCTTTGTTGATGTATTACGTGAAGACTGTTTAATACATTCCTTTGTTGCTCAAGTTGGATTACTCGTACTTATTGTTTGGTTCTTATTTCATAATATTTTTCGCTTGAATCGCTTGGCTTTTTCAATTGTAGATAAGTATCTATTTATCTTCAGTCTACCACGTTGTTTCAATAAATTAGGTGGCACACCAGCTGGTGGGATCCAATCTTCATCTGTAGGGATAATAGATTCTGTGTACGCTGCAACCAAGTATCCCTTTGTGTAACGAGGAGCCACCAGGGTAGCTTCATCAATTTTCCAAGACTGAGCCACTTTAATTGCATGCTCACAGGGATCTTATCAAGATCATATTGCTTGCAAGTACAAGTCCTCTCCAAAGTCTATGAATCAAAACTGAGACAAATGAGCGACTTTAAAGTATATGTTTTCATACCATTTCTAGATCAACCATACAGTTTATTTCTCTACTAGTAACATAAGTACGATTTGAATCAATGTGTTGAACAGTTAATGTACTCATGTTGGCATATCTCATATGCAGCACGAGTTCAGCTTCTTCTGTGAAGTTTGTTTTCAACGAGGCAGCTTTCTCTCGCCTTTCCGCAAACCATCTTGAAAGCATCTTTCTAATAGAATCCACAAAATAGGCAATAGGAACCGGTCTTTCTTCCTTAACCACGCCATTAATGCATTCTGCAAAATTGTTTGTCATGATATCAAATCTGTCTCCAGAAAAATATGAACGAGCCCACATTCTAATATCTGCTATTTGAAAATAGGTGTCTAGTTTGCTGTTTTGGCGTTTGATGACTTCATAAAGCTTGTCAAATTCCACTTAGAGATATAACAGATCAACCTTTTTTGCAAAATCTACCTGTGAAGTCGTTTTGAATTTTTTGACCATGTTTTGTCCAAGGTGATATAGACATATGCCCTTATCAGTTTCAAGGAAAATATTCGTAAGAGCCTTGGCTATTGATGGGCATCTGTCAGAGATAAAAGCAAAATATTTACCATCACCTATCACACCACGCAGATGAGTAAAAAACCATTCCCAGAATTCCGCATCCTCTGATTTTACAACCCCGAAAGCTATAGGATATATACCCTTATTTCCATCTTTACATGCAGCCACTAACATCACACCTCTGAACTTACCAAGTAGATGTGCTCCATTTACAACAATAACCCTCCTCATGTAAAAGCCTTTGATACATACATCAAAAGAAATGAACATACACTTAAACCTCTTCTCATAATCAAGTTCAAGCTTCGTTATTGTACCTGGGTTGGCCTGGTTTATTTTGTATAGATACGAAGGCAATTCCTGATAACCACTAGAATGAGTGCCTTTAACCATATCTCGTACATATGCCAAGGCGCTATGAGCCTTCGAATAACCGATGTCAATTTGATAAACTGCCCTTATACAGTCCATTATATGTTTAGGCCGGATTCCTGTAAGATCATTACCACCACTAAATTCCTCAAAAACAGCTTCCCAATACATTTTGCATTTGCTTGTCGATGACGAGAATACCTATGGACTTCAGAGCATGTATGAAGATCAATATATTTACGAACAAGGAATGCTGGAGATGATCTTGATATAGTTGAAGCATGTATCCTCCAGGAACGGAGCATGTTGCATAAAATACATACTTCCAAGATTTCTTGATGCTGAAATCAAAATTTTGATCACTGAAAGCTTTCATAATTTCTTTATTAGTTCCTTCTTCCCCCTGAATATGTCACTAGACTTAATGATTTCTCTCTTCCGCAACTGTGATGGCTTCACAGTCTCAACTGATGGCTTCATAGTCTCATGTGATGGCTTCATAGTCTCAAGTGATGGTTTCATAGTCTCCGGTGATTTCTTCATAGACTTGTACTCAACATTTCCAAAACTACCAAAATCAGCAGCAGCATTCTCTCTAACAACACGCTTTTGATTTCTATTCCCATCAAGACAACCTTTGTTTGTAGTCAATGTGACATAAAGATACATAGCCTCTGTCTTGTA